CAACCCAACTTGCCCGAATGGGCAAGTGGGTTGAAAAATTAATGTCAGGCCCTGATGCAAAAAAAAAAACGTTAAAGAACCCACTTCACTTCTCGCAAAAGAGCAGGGAGAAATCCCGGTGAAGTGGTCAGAAATACAAACCGGAGTTATACTCGGGTGGTGAGGCCTGCGGGTCACAGTTATTAAGTTAACTTTTCGCCACCCCGGCAGACCAGGAGATTGCCAAACCCTTAATAATAATACTAATAATAACAATAATGATAACAATAAGAATAACAATAATTGAATAAGCTGTAGTGCCTACGACTACTAAAGTATGGTCGTGTTTTCGTCAGATACTCCATTCTCTGTCCCGAGGCGGTTCCAACCGAATACACCGACGGCGCGAATGTTGCCGCCGCCATCTTGACGACGTTGAACTGGCCCACGGCCGAGTATAGGCTGGGAGGCACGAAGGTCTTCTTCAAGGCGGGCGCGCTCGGCAGGCTGGAGGAGCTGCGAGAGGAGCGCATCAGGCGCATCGTCACGCTGATGCAGGCGTGGGCGCGCGGCAAGAAGATGCGCGAGCAGTACGAGGTGATGAAGGCGCAGCGTCTCGGCATGATCATCATCCAGCGCAACGTGCGCAAGTACATCCAGTGCCGTAACTGGCCCTGGTGGAAGCTCTACACGAAGGTGAAGCCGATGCTCTCCATCGCGCGCCAGGAGGACGAGCTGAAGGCGAAGGACGTAGAGATTAGCAAGCTGAAGGAGAACCTGGAGAAGGAGAACAAGATGCGAGTTGACTACGAAGCCGTCATCGCCAAGCTGACGAAGGAGAAGAACGAGCTGTACGCGCGCTGCATGGGAGAGATGGACGCCATCGCTGACATCGAGGAGAAGCTCGCAAAACTGATCTCGCAGAAGGCTGAGATGGAGCAGCTGATTGCCGACCTGAGAGAGCGCATCACCGACGAAGAGAACAGCAACTCAGCCGTCAGCGACGCGAAGAGGAAGATCGAGTCCGAGTGCGCTGAACTGAAGGGCATCATCGAAGACCTCGAGCGGCAGGTGAGGAAGCTGGAGAGCGAGAAGTCCACGAGGGATCACCAGATAAATCAGCTGAAAGCGGAGATCGCCCGCCAGGAGGAGCTGATCGCCAAGGTCAACAAGGAGAAAAAGGCTCTTCAGGAATCTCAGGGGGTGAGTATTAAACTTACAGCTTACACTGGTGTGTTTCTCTATTCAATTTTACAAAACGCAATGCTTACGTGAATAATTATGGAAAAACAAGGTCGCCGTACTAGTCACATTCATAGTCGGCAAATTTAAGTGGAATTATTAATCAAACAATAATTATCCAATAAATAAATTAGTAAATAAATAAATGAACGTATTATGCCTCCAGAAAACTTCTGAAGATCTGCAGAAAGAGGAAGACAAGGTCAACCATCTCACAAAGGCCAAGGCCAAGCTGGAGCAGAGCCTCGACGAAATCGAAGACAACTTCGAGCGGGAGAAGAAGCTGAGAGTCGACACGGAGAAGGCGAAGAGGAAGCTAGAGGGAGATCTAAAGATGTCGCAGGAGGCCGTCGAGGAACTGGAGCGCGTGAAGCGAGAGATGGAAGAGAGAATGCGCCGGCATGAGAAGGAGATCGCTGGTCTGGGCAGCAGGTGCGAGGACGAGCAGGGAGTCGTCCACGCGATGCAGAAGAAGATCAAGGAGTTGCAGGTGAGGAACTCCGTCGTTGCTATTCTATGCTATGCTATGCTTCGCTATTCTATGATATGCTATGTTATGCTATGCTATGCTATGCTATATCATGCTATTATATGCTATGCTATGTCATGCTATGCTATGCTATGCTATATTATGCCATGCTATGCTACGCTATTCTATGATATATTATGCTATTCTACGCTATTCTATGCTAGGCTCTGCTATGTTATGCCATGCTATGCTATGCTATTCTATGCTATGCTATGCGATGCTATGCTATGCTATGCTATGCTATGCTATGCTATGCTACGCTATACTATACTATGCTATGCTATGCTATGCTATATGTTATTCTATACTATGCTATTCTATGCTATGCTATGCTATACAGGTACATACTCAGGAGGCGCCCATTTCATATCGCTGCTAAATGATCTCTTATATAATGCGCTCTCTAACAGGCGCGCATTGAAGAGTGTGAGGAGGAGTTGGAAGCGGAGAGGCAGGCTCGCTCCAAGGTGGAGAAACAACGTGCTGACCTCAATAGAGAACTAGAGGAGTTGTCCGAGCGACTAGAGGAAGCCGGTGGCGCCACCAGCGCGCAGGTAAGAAGCAAACACACGACCTACCTGTGACCTTATCCTGACATTGACTGTCACATAGAGCCGCAGCCCGAATAACAAGTTATATAACAAATAAAATTCATCAGTTATTTGGGCTGCGATTTCTATGGACTGTCGCGCCTCGCTGACGCTTCCAGCGCTGCATGAGGATCTCGTTAATTTCCCCCCTACGCCGCTGATTATTCCCAGGTCGAATTGAACAGGAAGCGTGAAGCCGAGTTAGCAAAGCTGAGGAGAGACTTGGAAGAGCAAGCTCTACAGCACGAGGCCACCGTGTCAATGCTACGTAAGAAGCAGAACGACGTCGTGGCTGAGATGGGCGAACAGATCGAGCAAATGAACAAGATAAAGGCCAAGTATGTGACGCGGCTTAAACGCCGCAGATTGCAATACATTACCACATACAGGCACATACGACAATATATAGCATTAATATATGATTTACGGAAAGTAGAAGAAACATTTAACGTAAGAACGTAAAAGTATTTCATATTCAATCCGAGGTATTGCTCAATGACAATTAATAGATGTTAGATGATATCAAATCTATATTGTATAGTATTGGCTGGTTACTAGTTACAAGCAATACGTGCACACAGCATTATGAAAATAGGGTCCTAATTCTAAAACGTAGCAGTGTATTATTACGTAACTAACGAACATTGCAGGAGTTCCATGATATTTAAGATATCGTAGATTGATAACTTGCATCTGGTTTTTTTTGGCAGGCTCGACAAGGAAAAGACAACACTCAATATTGAGTTGCAGGACATGAAATCCAACATGGAACCACTCAGAAAAGCTAAGGTACAGTATATAAAATAATAATAATATAAACAAACACTAAATAATGTACAGATAAATAATAAAAAAATAAAAAACGGTCGGGTTACGGCGGGTTTTCTGTGATTCCGCAAATAGGTTGTCTTCTGATCAAAACCATTTTTAACATTTTTATCCTGCCCATCAACAGGAGCAGAGCGACAAGCTCGCCAAGTCGCTAGAGATCCAGCTATCTGAGGCTAACTCGCGCCTTGACGAGTCTTCCCGCACCATAAACGGTCTGACAGGCCAGCAGAGCCGCCTCGCTAACGAGACTAACGACCTCCAGCGGCAGATCGAGGAAGCTGAATCCCAGATCAATCAGCTCAACCGTCAAAAGGCGCAGCTGACACATCAGCTGGAAGAGGCAAAGACCCAAATCGACGAGGAAACAAGGGTCCGTACAAGCACGTTCGTTTCTTCGTTTTACTGCGCCCAAATAATCACTTCCCGCGTATCGTCATAAGGTATACATGTATACATCTTAAGCCCGGGTCACAACAGATCGTACGAAATTTTGTCGTGGTAGGACCCATAAAATATTTGTCGTGGCCAGATCTTGCAACATGCCCGAAATGTATTGCGAGTGGTCACAAGGGCTACGACACATTAAAGATGGTTTGGCGATGGGGACGCGACAGAAAAAAAAGATATGTCGTGGGTGTGTCGCAAGTCAGTCGTGCGATAGTCGTGAGTTGTCGGGCATTGTCGGGGGCTGTTTTTCACGTGAACAGGTCGTGGTTCACTTGTGGGATGCGCGTGCTACAGTCGTGCGACTGTCGCACAAAGTCGTGGGTCACTCGTGGGTCACTCGTGGGACGCCCGCGCGTCCGTCTCCCGACTATATAACGACGTATTATCGCACGACAGTCGCAAGACTGTCGTAGGACAGACTCATGACAACCAGAAGACATAGATGCCACAAAAAATTGTGGAACAAAAAAGGTGCATGTTCAATTTTGCCTCACGACGGCAAGTCGATGCCACGATGCTCAAAATTTCGTAGGACTGTCTTGCGACGACCCCCGATGACCCACGATTTGCCCAAATTTTCTGTCGTGTCGTCGCACAAATGCGTCGTGGGCTCGTTGTGACCGAGGCTTTAGTAATGCGCTAATAAGTTATTATTTATAGATCTATGCTGCAAACAGGAGATAATAATCCTTCTTCCGATTCCTCATAGTTTACATTCTTTACATTCTACTCCCGCTGACGTAGACTTTCATCGTCAGACGTCCTCATAGTTTACATGCTACTCCAGATGACGTAGACTTTCATCCTCAGACGGCATCCTCGCTGCAAGGCCAGCTGCGCAATGCACAGCACGATGCCAACCTTCTCCGCGAGCAGCTCGAAGAGGAGGGCGAACTCAAGTCTCAGACGGAGCGTCAACTCTCCAAGGTCAATAGCGAGTTCCAGACACTGCGCGCGCGCGTCGAGGCGGAGGGGCTCGGCGGGGGCGAGTTGGAAGCCGAAGAGCTCAGGTAATGACCTTATATTAATTATATTAAGCTTATATTACTGATATTAGCGTACTTATATTAAGCTGAGATGCGACATATATCTAAATCTCGCATCAGGACGCAATCGCGTTTTGAACTCGCGTGCGTTCGTATGCGTTATAAACTATGTATTAAAGCCACACTTGATAAATCAAGCTGCGGTGCTAGCATATCACATCTCTGGGGGCAGTACGGAGACATTTTGAACTCGCATGCGCTCGTATGTGTTATTAACGATGGAATTAGGCCACACTTGATAATTCGAGTTAAGCTACTCGTTTACTACATGTCTGGGAGCAATACGCAGAACTTGCGCGCGCGTATACGTACACGTGTCAATACCAAGTTCGGATCGTGTAGTTGATATTAGTTGTCATTGTAGCTGAATGACGCCATTTCTGAATCCGCGAAAACGATTTCTGTCTTAGGAAAAAGCTTATGGCTAAGCTTGCCGAGAGCCAGGATCAGGTGGAGTCGCTGCAGGCAAAGATTAATCAGCTGGAAAAGAGCAAGACTCGTCTGACGAACGACCTTGATGACATGTCGGTTGAGGTAGAGCGAGCGACCGCGAATGCCAATGCTGCGGAGAAGCGACAACGCAACTTCGACAAGACGCTCGCGGAGTGGAAGCAGAAAGCGGATGACATCTCGGCCGAGTTGGAGGCGTCCCAGCGTGAATGCCGCAGTCTATCGACGGAGCTATTCAAGGCGAAGGCGTCGTCGGAAGAGGCGGAGGACTCGATTGAATCGCTCAAGCGGGAGGTGAAGAATCTAACCGACGAGATTAAGGACCTCACCGATCAGCTCGGCGAAGGCGGCAAGAACGTTCACGAGATGGACAAGGCGCGCAGAAGGCTGGAGCAGGAGAAGGAGGAGCTGCAGTCGGCGCTGGAGGAGGCCGAGGCGGCGCTCGAGACGGAGGAGTCGAAGGTTGTGCGCGCGCAGCTGGAGCTGCAGCAGATGCGCCAGGAGGTCGACCGGCGTCTCAACGAGAAGGACGACGAGTTTGAGACGACGCGTCGCAACCACCAGCGCGCCGTCGACTCCCTGCAGGCGAGCCTCGAGGCGGAGTCTCGCGGCAAGGCTGAGGCGCTGCGCATGCGCAAGAAGCTCGAGCACGACATCAACGAGCTGGAAGTGTCGCTAGATGGCGCCAACCGTCAGAACGCCGACGCGCAGAAGAATCTGAAGAAGCTGCAGGCGGACGTCGTCGACCTGGCGGCACAGGTTGAGGAGGAGCAGCGCGTCCGCGACGAGCTGCGAGAGCATCTGAGTGCCAGCGAGCGCCGCTGCAACGCCATCAGCGCCGAGCTGGAGGAAACGCGCACGGCCCTAGAGCAAGCCGAGCGCCACCGCCGCGCCGTGGAGGGAGAACTCAACGACGCCAACGACCGTAACGCAGATCTGCAGAGCCAGGTGACGTCCGTGAGCGCGGTGAAGAGGAAGCTGGAGGGAGACATAACCACGATGCAGGCAGACCTCGACGAGACCGTCAACGAGATGAAGGTCGCCGACGAGAAGGCGAGATGTGCGGCGGCCGACGCGGCGCGCCTCGCTGAGGAGTTACGGCAGGAGCAGGAGCACGCGCACGCCATCGACAAGGTGCGCAAGTCGCAGGAGCAGCAGCTCAAGGACCTGCAGGTGCGTCTGGACGAGGCCGAGGCGAACGTACTGAAGGGAGGCAAGAAGCTGATCGCTAAGCTGGAGCAGCGCGTGCGCGAGCTGGAGAGCGAGCTGGATGCTGAGCGGCGCCGCAGCAGCGAGGCGCAGAAGAACTTCCGCAAGGTCGACCGGCAGGTGAGAGAGTTGCAGCTGCAGATCGACGAGGATAAGAAAAACCAGCAGCACCTCGTCGACATGATCGAGAAACTCAACGGCAAGATAAAGCTCTACAAGCGGCAGATCGAGGAGTCCGAGGAGGTGGCCAACATGAACCTGGCCAAGTACCGCAAGGCGCAGGCTGAGTTGGAGGAGGCTGAGGCGCGAGCGGAGGATGCTGAGAGCGGCCTCGCGAAGCTTCGCACGCACGCACGCAGCAGCGGCGTCCGCCTGGCAGGGGCTGCAGCCCCCGTGAGTAACACAGAGCAGCTTCGTTAATTAGTCAATTAAATTTATTTGATAGATTGTAGGTAAATAGTTAGTTAATTAGCTTTGTTTATTAGCAGCTCGAATTTGCTTAATCGTGAAAGGATGGAAAAGAAATTTGGTGTCAGATGGGTATACAGTCTAACGTATGGTAGTAGGAAAAAATTAATAAATTATTATGATCAATTGAAAGAATGAAAAAGAATGATAAAGGTAATGTATAATAATGTATAAGTAATAATATGTAAGTAATATATAATAAATTAATATAAGTATAATATATAAATAAGTATATATAGTATACGTAAGATGTGAATATATAAACTTTTTTTTTTTAAATCACTTGTGCCTACAGTACGACCTGTGTTTCAGAGCCGCCCTAGACGTCGTCTGATGATGGATGATGATGAGGAGTAGAGCAGACTCCCTCTATCCAGCCGTACGTATTCATCACATACACAGCAATAACTACATCAGCGTACCTGTCAGATGGGTCTCTGTTGTATGCGCATTACACAAACCCGCTACACAGATTGTAAACAAGAACAGTACACAGATTGAGTCACACAGAAGAACATCACAGAGAACACACGCAAAGATTGGTGAATATTCTAGATCTAACATAAAATTCCTATTTATGGTTGCACTGCGGAGTGAGTGCGTGCTGTTTAGAGGCTTCGGTAACTTCGAGTTTAAGCCTACGGGTGTTCTGACCTCTCCGTGGCACCCTAGAGCAAGCAGCATTACAGGACGATCCCGACACGCTAATCGCTTTTGAAATAACCGCACTCGCTATTGACATAACTATATACGGTCAACACACAACACACCCACAGCACACCCCCACCACCACACGCACACACACACAACACAACAACACACACAGCACACACACACAGTGACACACACAGCACACACACACCACAAACACACACACACACGCAACGCACGCAACGCAGCGCACGCACGCACGCAGCGCACACACACACACACACACACACCGACCATACACACACACACACACACACACACACACACATACGCACACGGATACTGCAATCTGATTTTAATAGGAACGTTTGACTACTCAGAGCGTGAATGTTATTATGTGTGTTTCTAAATGAATATCTTTACACTTGCAGCGAATCAACTGCATTAGACGTGTAGCCTAGAGGAGGGATTCCGTTCCCGTATTTAGACATCCGGAAGAGAAGCGAACGGGACGTCGAGACCTTCATAACGTAGATGGCGCTAGCAGTCGCAGCAAAACACACGCTCACATTTATATATATTTTCACTATAATTATATAGATTTATTTATTGTAAAAGTAATGTAACATTTGCTCTTTTGAATTCGTCATATGAAAATTTATGGTTTACTTAGTTAGATGATAACCGTAGTATGATAATGAGCGCATAAAACGCGAGTATAAACTTCATGTTATGAGCAACCCAATGTCTGGAACGGAACGCGGCATCATCTCAGCTAAGCTGCTACTGATAGCATTGCAATTAACACGTTTAATTAGAGGTGCTTAATTACTTGCAACCCGGTGTAAAATAAAACGATTCCAATTTCTCTAGCGAAGACTACGATTTCTTGATATTATTTTATTGTGCCGTGCAGTTTTCTCTGAATTTTATGTTTTTCTTTTAGTCCTTTCATTTCGTTGTAATTTTAGTATACAGTATAGCCACATTCTTACCTTTTTGAAACTTCTTCGCTAGCATTATAATCCATATGATGCAGTTTCTTAGAGGGAGCCGGTTACATCGTTCGCTTTCACCTTACTGTTTAAATATTCGAAAGTCGAACAGTATTTTTTCAGTCTATGTCTGAGCCTCGAAATTTCTTTATTAGAAATATGATTGACATACTAATGCTAGCTATGCAGCACGCGTCTAAATTAATTGTATTTTATATAGCATATATCGCCAGTGTTTTAAACTCACTGAGACGACTTTTTTTCAGAATTCACCGCAGATGATTTTTTCAAATAAAATTAAAACAATAACAACACTAAATAGCCTAAATGCTAAATTCCATCTATGATTCCATTAAGCGCAAATAGCGTGTGTCATCTACCATCATCGACACTGCTATCGAGCGCCATCTACCGAGCAGTAACGCCGATGTGACATTAAAGAGCCTAGATAGTTTATACATTATAACCTCTTTCGTGACGTTCAAGACAAATTAACTACTATTGGCTGCGGTTCTTTCGGCACAATAGCAAGCCTTGATTCTGACACGAAGTAAATAGAAAACCGCTCAAATCTAAAATACACGGAAATCTTTGGCATATCGATCGGGCGTCAGAGCCATCGACAACGCTAATATAAAACTAAAACTTATAACCATTTTAAACTTATTTAAAACTAAAATTTTATAAATATAATTATTATATAACTATCAGTGTAATAATGAAGAGTAAACATGTAACCAGCAACATCCCCCTCAGTGCTCTGTGATCCCTCGTGGTGGCTATCGACATGGTGTCGCTCATATATGATTAAACGAAAAATTAATTAGAAAGAACAGAATATAGATCAATGCAAGTGAATCATCGTGAAAGAAGAAGAGGAACGTGTATGTTACAATTGTTGCGTATATACGGAACCACGTTCTCCTCTCTCAGAAGGAGAACACCCAAGCTCTCTCTCTCTCTCTCTCTCTCTCTCTCTCTCTCTCTCTCTCTCTCTCTCTCTCTCT